AGAGCAAGAAAACCCAAATAATCCAATTTTAAAATGGGCAAAGGACCTGAACAGACATTTTCCTGACGAAGATATACAGATAGCCAACAATTACATGAAACAGTGCTCGGCACCACTAATAGTCAGAAAAATGCAGATCAAAACCACAGTGAGAGATCACATCTATTAAGATGGCTGGTATCAGAAAGACGAGACAACATGTGTTGGCGAGGATGCGGAGAAAGGGGAACCCTTGTGCCTGTCGGTGGGAATGCAAACTGGTGCAGCCACTCTGGAAACCAGTATGGAAGTTCCTCAAAAAACTAAAAATAGAGCTACCATATGATCTAGTAATCCCACTTTTGGGTGTATATTTAAGGAAATGAGACTGGGATCTTGGAAAGATGTCTGCACCCCATGTTCACTGCAGCTTTATCCACGATAGCCAGGACATGGAAACAAGCTAAGTCTCTATTTACAGATGAATGGATAGATAAGATGTGAGACATGTACAATGACGTATCTGAGTACAGTCCTAAAAAGGAAATCCTGCCTCCTATGACAACATGGATGACCCTTGTGGGCATTGTGCTGAATGAAGTAAATCAGATGGAGAAAGACTCACTGACATGTGGAATCTGAAAAAGCTGAACTCACAGAAACAGAGAAGGATGGTGGTTGCCAAGGGCTGGGAGGTGGGGGAAATGGGGAGATGTTGGTCAAAAGGAGTAAACTTCCAGTTATCTTAATTAAGCCTTCTTACTACAACAACAACAAAAGGAAGGGTAACTATGAGAAGTGATGGATATGTTAACGAACCTTACCATGGTAATCATTTTGCAATATATACACGTATCAAATCATCACACTGTACACCTGAAACTTACACAATATTAGATGTCAATTATATCTCAGTAAGGTTGGGAAAAAAGAAGGGGAGGGACATCTGTAGGAGATGCTGAGGAGGTGCTGGGCTTCTAGGTATAGTGGAGGGAATGGGGGCAAGGCCTCTACCCTCCAAGAATGGGCAGGGGGCCGAGTTTCAAGGACAGTGGAGCATGATGACAATGCTGTTGCCAAGCATGGGGCAGTACCAGCTTGGCGACCCCTGAAGACTTCCTTGGGGGGACTGTGGTGCCACCAGTCTGTCCAGTGTGTGACCTTCTGCAGCAGCTGGAGCCTCATGGGGGTACTCCTGGAGGTTCAGGGTGGGCCATTTGCCAGTGGGTAGGACAGAGGGTGAGGGACTAGGGAGCCCTGGCAGGAAAGGAGGGGGCTGGGGAGTAGGAAGCACTGAGATCAGGACGGGGTTGTAAAACAGGTGAGCTGGAAGGCCCAGGGAGGAAGAGTGTCATCAAGGGGTAACAGACTCCAGTCCTCTGTCCTAACTTCCTCACTCCCAAAGACACTTCCCTCTGCATCCCGCTCAGCTCAGAACTGCCTGCCCTACCACATTTCCCCAGTGGATTCTCTTTTTCGTTCCTCCGGATGAGCATTTCAACCTGCTCCTCCCCCTTTCAGCCTGCAATGCCCCTTCTCCCTCCTGGTTGATTATCTTGTTTCTTATTTCACTGAGAAAGTAGAGCAGTCAGAAGGCAGCCCTCCCCCTCCCCCCAATCTACCAACCCACCTGTGCCTACAATCATGTGGCTGGTCTTCCCCTCTGCTGCAACCAGTGGGCTGTCCCAAGTGCTGTGCCCCCTTACCTAGACTAGGCAACACACCCTTCTTGCACCACCAACTTTTCTTTCTTGAGTAATTTCAATATGCATATAAAGTCCAATAACATCCCTATCTTAAAAAAAAAAAGCACACAAACTCCTTAAATGCTGGGCCTGTCTTTGGCTATATTGTACTATGTTTCTGCTCCCCTTCGCAGAACAATTCACTGCACAAGGTGTGTGCCCTTGCGTATGCAGTTCCTCGTGGGTCATCTGCTTTAATCCATTCCACTCAGGCTATTTCTTACTCTTCTACAGAAACTGCTTTTATCAAGGTAACAGGTGCTTCTGTCTTGCTAACGATTGAATGTTGGTCTTCATCTCTCCGGATTGCTCAGCAGTATTTGGCAGATGAGTATAACCTCTTTCTTGACATATGCTCCTCCCATGGCCCTGGAAACTGGACTCTCCTGACCCTTCCCTCCCTGAATTCTCTGGCTGCTCCTTCTCAGGCTCCTTTTCACCTACTTGATGCTTTCTGAGTGCCCTCCTGTCCCCCGGGCTCTCTGCTCTCTGTCTACACTTATTCTCTCAGTGATGATTTCTGATTCAGGCAGTGGTCTGCCAGGGTGGCACACTCGAAGGGACTATCTACCATGATTTGTGCAGGGTATAACAAAACTTCGAGGGATTGATAGCTCCAGGCACTGGCACCACTCCCCGGCCTGCAGAAACAAGGAGAGGGAGCAGGAACCGTAAGGGGCTGACAGGAGCTGGGACCTTCAACTGAGACTTAAGGGCCAACCCCAGGGGAGCCAGCAGGAGCGAGCTCGCGGGATACATACCTTGACCTTGTTCTTTTCTTCCTCCAAGTGCCTACTGGTGCTCCCCATCAGCCAAGTACAACCAGGAGCTGGATGTCCAGGGAGTGAGCTGATGCAGTCTGCACAGGTCAGTGCGTGACACAGAGCAGAGTGGGGAAGGGCAGAGAGAACGGGAGGGGCAGACACAAAGTGTTTCACACAGCTTCCAGATTCATATCTGCAGCCGCGACCTATCGTCTGAACATCGCTTGCAACATCCAACTGCCTACTCAGCATCTCCACTTTTATGTCAAATACGAAGTTCTTAATCTCCACCCTGTGGTCAACAAGTTCTTCCCTCATTCCCCTGCTTCAGCGAAGAGTACCAGTCAACAGGTAAAAAACTAAGAGGCTCCATTCCTTCTCTGGCAAGTCTTACAAGCAGCGCATCGGCCATCCAGTCAGCTGCATGATAGAGCCCCGGGCATGATGCTTCTCATCCAAACCACACCATTGCTCCTTTGGGCTGCTGTCGAAGACCCCCCAATTTCTCCAGTGACAGGCCTTCTGGCAGCCTCCCTATAATCTTCCCTTCCACTTTGCAGCTAAGTGACCCTGTTTATGTCTGGGTCACTACGTGCTCACCTCAGTGTGTAATGTCGGTCCTGGTCCTTTTTGCTATACGCCAACTTTCCCACCCTCTTGAAACCAGGAGTGGTACATGGTTCAGATCTGCCCAACAGAGTTTAAAGAGAAATTTTCTGGGGAGCTGCTGAGAAACCTTTCCTTTGTTATAAAAGGATGTTATGTGTTTACTTTTAAAAAATGGATGTCCTTTTTACACCCGCCCCTTCTTTCATTTGAGATGGTATAAAGATGGGATGCTTTGGGCTATGGTAGCCACCTTGGGCCATGAGGTGACAAGCATGAGGACAAAAAGTATACACTGCGACCATGGGAGGGAGGAAGAATGGAAAGAATTCGTGTTCCTGAAATGGCATACTTTATGCCTTTTTATTAAGTGAGGTTAAAACTGCACCATGTCAGCCACTGATAGCTGGCTTGAATTGCTCACCTCTGAATGTATCCTGGGCAACACACCCCAGCCCCCTGCAGTCTGTTCCCCACTCAGCAGCCAGAGGGATTCTTCCAGAACTGGGGTCATGATGACCCCTCTGCACAGAACTCTTCTCTGACTTTGAGAGCAGAAGTGGGAGCCTGTAACTCCATCAGCACAGCCCAAGGTTGCCCCTGGGCCCCTGCGCCCTGTGCTGGTCTCACTCGGCACCTTTCGCTTCCTGACAGGGGTCTTCCCCGGCTCAGTGTCACTTGCCATCCTTGTTCTGTTCTCACAGCCCTCACTGCCACCTGGTGCTGCCTCTGGTTTTGATTTGCGCTCCTGCACTGGTGAAGCAGACAGCGTGCGACATCTGCTTTATCCGCTCAGTCACTCACCAGGAGTGATTCCAGGAGGCTTCTTATCTGAATGTTGTGAGGACTGAATGGACAAATTGTGTGCGAATGGGGTACAGCAGTGTCTGCACAAAGTAAGCACTATGGAAGCATTTGTCATTCCTTGTGTAAGAATGTCAGCTCCATGAAGGCAGAGCTGGGAGCCTCGTGCCTGGCATCTGATAGGTGTTTAGCAGAGTCGTTGAATGGATGGAAGGGTGGATGAATAGCACATAGCAGGCTCTCTTTAATTGTTATTGAATGTCTGATAGAACAAAGGAATCTCTGAGCTGAGATTTTGGAACTGATTCAGTGCATGTTGACAGGAAGGCCTAGGGTACGATTGAGGGCTGAGGGGCCCCAGGACAGAGTTGTGCATCCTGAAAACCCAAGACCAGGGAGTTGAGAGCATGGTCTATAAGGATGTGAAAGACTCCGAAAGGACGGCAGGAGAGGGCCCAGGAGCCAGCATCTTGGGGGAGGCCAGTGGTCCGCAGCAAGGGGAGCGAAGTGTGGGGAGAGACATGGGGAGCCAGGGGCCTAACCCTCCGCAGTTTGGGCTGGAGCTTCTCACGGCTGGTGACGCCTCCTGCTCCTGGGGGCAAAAGAGGCGTCCATTGGAGCCGCTCAGCTCGGCGGTCCGTCGAGGGCAGCCAGTCCAGCCCGGCTCCCGGCCGCAGCAGCCGAGCTCAGCATCTGGCCAGCGCCCGGCCGGGCGCGAAGCGGGATGCGCAGACGGCGCCCGCTCCCGGCGCCCGCCCCAACCCGGGGCTTAGCCCGGAGGCCTGGGGGGCCGAGGCGCAGCCCAGAGGGCTGGCGGCGGGGACCGGCCGCGGGGGACAGGGCGGGGGCGGCCAACTGGGGGCGGGGCGGGCGGCATTCGGGCGGGCGGGGCGAGCGCGGATTGGCCGGGCGCCGCCACGTGACCGGCCCCTTATAGGGCGTGGTGCGGGCGGCGGAGTCGGGTGCGGCGGCAGGGCCGGGCGAGGTCCGGTGCGGGTTCCGCGGCTCCGCTGCTGCTCCGCTCCGAGCGCCTGGCTGGCGCGCCCCGCGCCCTCCCTGCCGGGGCCGCCGGGCCAGGGGATGCTCGCGGCGCCCTGGAGCCATGGTCCGCTTCGGGGACGAGCTGGGCAGCCGCTATGGGGGCGCCGGTGGGGAGCGGGCTCGGGGCGGCGGGGCCGGCGGGGCGGGCGGCCCGGGCCCGGGGGGCCTGCAGCCCGGCCAGCGGGTCCTCTACAAGCAGTCGATCGCGCAGCGCGCGCGGACCATGGCGCTGTACAACCCCATCCCGGTCAAGCAAAACTGCTTCACCGTCAACCGCTCGCTCTTCGTCTTCAGCGAGGACAACGTCGTCCGCAAATACGCCAAGCGCATCACCGAGTGGCCATATCCTGCCCGGGGCCGTGCCGCGCGGGGGCCGGGGGACCGTCCGGGGTCTAGGGGACAGAGACCGGGCGCGGTGTCCGGCGTCTGCGCCCCGGCGAGTCTGGGAGGGGCGGCCTGGGCGGGGGTGGGGGGGAGCCCGGGGCTGGGGCGGGTCGCGTGCGGCGCCCAGTGGCCATCTTTCCCGGGGTCGGGAGGAGGGTGCGACCTGGGGAGAGGCGGCTCGGGGACGCGGCTCTCGGCGAGGAGGGGGCGGGGCGGGGCTCCGGGGCCCTCCGCGCGCCGCGTGTGCGTGTGTGTTTGAGTGTGTGTGTGTGTGTGCGCGCGCGCGCGCGCGCGCGTGTGGTCGTGGTGGTGGCGGCTGCGGGAGCGGAATGGACGCTGGGCGGAGCCCCCTGTCCCTGGACTCGTCCCTTCACTCCCTTGGTGTGGGTGCAGAGCGCGCGGCGAGCCTGGAGGGCACCCGAGGGCGAATCCGTGTCTGTGTAGGTGTGAGCACCCTGGTGGACGCGAGCCCAGGCGCGTGCTTGGCTGCAGGTGCTTGAGTGTGTGTGTGCGGGCATTACATGAACCCGGTGTTGCGCGTGCGTGCGTTCGGGACTCTGGGTACATGTATGTTCAAGTGCCTGTGTAGGTACATGTGGCTACGTGTCTCTAGGTAGGAGTGTGCGCCTGCGCGGGGTCCTTCCTCCAGCCTCGCGCGGGGGGCGCAGTCCCCTCCCCTAGGGTCGCGGGAGCCGTGCGGAGCTGGGCGGGGGCGCTGTCCGCGGTGCTGACGGCCGCCCGGACGTACGGAGGGGCTGGCCGCCCGGACGGCAAGAGGCTCCGCCTCGAGGCGGACCCCGAGGGTGAGGGCAGGGAGGGCGGGGTAGGCTTCCGAGCGGTCATTCTCAGCCCCTCTGGAGGTGGCCTCGCCGTGCCTGCTGCACTGCGCGCTGTGGGCCTCCTCCCCTCCCCTCCGCCTTGGCGCCTCCTGGCCAGTCCTTAACCCACGCACTCCGTTTGAGTACATGATCCTGGCCACAATCATCGCCAACTGCATCGTGCTGGCACTGGAGCAGCACCTCCCTGACGGGGACAAGACGCCCATGTCCGAGCGGCTGGTGAGTGGCGGCGGCGGGGGCCTGCGGGCGGGGCTGTGGGGTGGCCGCGGCTTGTCTGATTCCACGGCCCTTTAGCATCTGTGGCTCAGTTTAGCTTCCTTGGGCAGGGTAATCTGCGTAGCTCTCTTCTCTTGTTAGTGGAGGAAAAGGGAGAACCCAGGCAGCTAACACCTCCCTCAGGGCCAGGAGGACTGGGGTAGCTAGCGCAGCCCTGATGGGAAGGATGGCCTGAGAGAGACCATGTTAGCTAGCGGCTGTCTGCCCTGGGCCACTAGCCACCCCGTACCTCAGATGCGCTGTTCGGTTCCACCACCTTAAGCCCTGATCTAAGAAACTAGGTGAAACCTGGGGTGGGGGAGGGGCATTCATAATGGCCCAGGGAAATGTCAGGCTCTGGGTGAGCGCCCACCTTTCTGGCTGCCCAGGGGCTTTCCTGGGCAGGGTTCTGATTGTCTTTGGTCCCTGTGGTATGGTCCTGGGTCTAGGGATTGTCCTTCAGCGTTGTCTTTCCTGGCTCTGCTTGGAATCCCTTCCCCGTGGGGAATCCCGTCCCCTTCATATGGGAAGCACTCCTTCCCAAGTGTTCTTCCCAAACATCCTGAATCATTTTCACCTATTCCTGTCGCGAGCTCCACAGATCCCTGTGGTGTCCCCTGTTGCACATGACAGTCACGAGCTCCACAGATCCCTGTGGTGTCCCCTGTTGCACATGACAGTCAGAACCCCAGGGCAGGGCCTCTGGGGGGGCAGAGGGTGGTATTTAGAGCAGTGAGCCTCATTTCAAAGGTGAGGCTGTGTGCCCTAGTCCCCAGTCTTTCCTCCTGACCTGAACCCTTTGCCGGGGATTGGTGTAGGCTCCTAGACCCGAGAGCAGGGAGAGGAGCAGGTGCAGGGGTCTGGAGAGGGGGTCTGGGGCCTGGCTGGAGAGATGCTAAAGGTCCTGAGGTCCCTGAGACACAGCCCAGCCTCTCTTGGGGACATTGGGCATGGAGAGGAGAATCCCTCCTTCCTTGTACCCTGGCAAGCGATTGGTCCTCTCCACAGCTTCTTTCCCTCACTTCAGTGAGATAGGCAGGAGGTGATACAGGGACTGTTCGGTGTTTAGCGTGGGCCCTGAACGCCCCCTCCCCGTCATCACAGGCCTAGGGGTGGGGAAGGGAGGACAGAGGGAGGCTGATTTGCGGCTGCTCACAGTTGGGCAAGGCACCAAAAGAAGGCAAGGAAATGGACAGCCAGGGAATGGGAGGCTCCCTGGAACAGTCTTCTGCGGTGCTCGGAAGGCCGGGGGTTTGGGTTGTGGGTTGAGACGAGGGGCATGAAGACAGCACAGCTGTGCCAGGCAGGAGTGGGTGTGGCCCCTGCGGGTGACTCTTGCCCCGTGTGGAGCCAGATAGGGTCACTGGCTTCCTGTGGGCCCCTTGTGCGTGCTGGTGGTGAGCGTCTGTTCTGGAAGCTGGAGAAGAGAAAGTGAGAGCAGGGAACCTCTGCAGACCACAGGGTGTGGCCATACCTCCAGGGAAGTCTGGCAGCGGTAGGGCCAGAAGGAAGCAGGCCAAGAGATGGTGGCGGTCGGGGGACGGGGAGGCCAGTGTACAGCGGGCAGTCCTAGGCTTGTCCCTGCTGGGTGGCAGGCTTGAGTGGGCCAGCCGGGCATCTGGGCAAGTCTGAGCTCCTGCCTCCCAGGTGAGGGAAGGTTTGCTTTGTGGTGATGGGGGTGTGGGCTATTGGGAAGACAAGCAGAATGTGCCCAGCCTGGGCCTGGCCTGGAGGCCTGAGGAGTCCTTGCTGACCGTAGTCCTGTGTGCAGACATAGGCCTTCAGACCTATGGATGGAGAGAAGGCTGGAACAGAGCAGGGTCTGGAGAGGAGGGGCTGTGGCAGCTTCAGGGCTCAGGCCTGGAGGCTTGCTAGGGCGGGAGGCTAGGTCGTGCAGGTGCTCCATTGTTTGCCAACCTGGACTGGGGTGGGGCCTCCACGGATCCCCGTCTCTGGGGGCTCTGCTTCCCAGCCACCCATCCACTGCCCGCGCCGCCTGTCGCCAGAACCCTAGCTGGCAGTCCCACTCTACCCCCAACCAAGCCCGTGGCTGTCTGCCCACCCGCCCCTCCCCAAGCCAGCTCTTTTGTGTGTCCGGAAGCTTTCTGTGAGGATGTGTTTGTTAGAGCCAAGCTGTTTCCTGGGCCAGATGTCAGCAGCCCCTTCCCTTGGGGAGAGGGGTCCCTCCAACTAAACTAGACCGGGAGCTTCCGGGGGATGATTTCTGTCATGAGTCAGCATCTGGGTAGCAGGATGGGGGAGCTGGCCCATGATGGACACTGGGCTGACTGGGCCCCTCGGGGAAGTAGCTTCTGCTGTGCACAGCTGGGAAGCCCCAGGCGGACGGTATACCAGGTCAGATGGGGAGAGCTCTTGAGGACCAGGCTTCTTGGGGGAGGAAGGCACAGGCCGCTGGCCCTCAGTTTGAGCTGAGAGCAGCCACTGGGAGCCAATCTGGCCCACCCCTCCCCTGAAGCCCCAAGTGAGCGATGCCCCTGGTCACTTACCACACCGTCGCTGCGTGTCTCCATGTGGCCTCCCCCTCCCCGAGCTCTCTACAACTTGTTTCCCGCCTTGCTCAGCACCTCAGCACCAGCGGGGGCCTGGCCCCAGTTGATGCTTTTGGCTGAGTGACAAGATTGCTTTGCTCACACTGTTCCCTCCACCTGGAATTCCTTTCCTTGCTACCTAGCTGGATGTCTTGCTCTCCAGAGGCTACCTGAGGCTGGGCTGTATTTGCTCCCCCAAGATTTGCATTTGCACGTTATGATTATCCAGAAGATGTGTGTTGAATGAATAAGTGGGTCCTGGGCTGCACTCTAGGGAGCTGGGACATTATCCAGGCAACTTCTGCGGTGGTTGGAGCCCAGGATCAGACCCAGATCACCTCTGGGTTTGAGTACAGCTCTGGTTCCAACAAACTGTGAGTCTCGAGCCCAGTTCCTTGACCTCTCTGTGTCTGTTTCCTTTAGAAACAGGATGATAATCGTGCTTAACACATGGGGTGTTGGATGGATTGCAGAAAAAGCCCACAAATGTTGTCAACATTGCTTCCCCTTCTGCAGGGCTTCGAAGGGTAGGAGGTCCCAGGAAGCCTCTCCGCTGTGACTAGGAGGTCACTGGCTGTGGGAGCAGGGCCCCATTTCCTGTTGGGACAACGGGACAGAGGAGCAAACAGGCCCATGACGAAAGTGCCGGGCTGGAGAAGTCTGTGGGCAGGGAGGCTGAGTGGGAGGGGCAGAGCTGGGGCAGTGGGTGTGGCCTGCCGGACTGGGGGTGGTGGCGACCCTCTCTCTGCTTCTCCTCAGGACGACACAGAGCCCTATTTCATTGGCATCTTCTGCTTTGAGGCGGGGATCAAGATCATAGCCCTGGGCTTTGTCTTCCACAAGGGCTCCTACCTGCGGAACGGCTGGAACGTCATGGACTTCGTGGTGGTTCTCACAGGGTAGGCGGCCAGGGCCCAGGCTGTGCCCTTCTTGGGGCTGGAGGTTGGGCAGCAGTGTCTACACTGGGCCGCAGTGGGTGCGGGTGGCTGCGTGTGAGGAAACGCCCGGTTGCCCGCCCCCCCCGCCGTGTGGGGAGGGGCGGTTGCCCGTGTGTGGTGATCTTGGCTGAAGGGCCCACTCTCAGTGTTCTGTGTCAGATGAAGCCACTCACTTGCAGAGCCACAGGCGTGGGCCGGCTGCCTCCGTGGCTGGGCTACCGTGGGGGAGGGGCTTCCCCGGGCAGGGGGAGGGCTCTGGGCTCCAACCCTGCCCATGTAGGCCTGTGGTCTGGGGGAGGCACCACGCACGCGCACGGCTAAGCTGTTTCCTGCCTGAAGAGCTCCCTGGGAAGCGCATTCTTAGCGCTCTGTGCTGTGCGTGGATGAGCTTGTCAACGGTATGTGTTTCCACGGTTTCTGGCTCCAGGAAGGTGCTTAATCAGTGTGTCCTTTCCTCCTCAAATGGACCCTGATAATTACCACTTTGTGATTCCCAAGACAACCCAGGAGGTCTAGAAGTTGACTTGGGGATGGGCTGGGGTGCAGGGTGCAGGCAGAGCACCCTGCTTGTCGCCACTGAGCCCCTACCCTTCGGGGTCTCAGTCTCTCCATCTGCCTGGCAGGTCCTTTAGAGCCCCTGCCCTGCTTCTCTGGCCAGCAGGCTGAAGGCTGGAGCTTCTGCTCTGGGGGTGGAGTGGGTGAGTGCTTGGGGAATTTGCTCCATAGGACCTGTTTGCACAGCCCAGGCCCCAGAGGCCCCACCCCAGGCCAGGGACTGCAGTCTCTTCTTCCCTGGGGCCTTGTGGTCCCTGGGGAGGCTCAGAGCCCAGATCAGAGAGGAGGGAGCAGGCCCCACTGTGGCCCAGAACACTCCTTCCCAAGGAAGGGTGATTGTGGCCAGGGCCTCCACCCTTGTGCTGGACAGAAGCTGCCCAACGACCCCCTAACCTGCCTTGGTACAAGTGAACACACGTGTGGAGATGGTTTGGGCAGAAGGCACAGGAGGGAGGAGGTGACCATGAAAGCCCCAGGTCTGGGGCTCAAGCCTCCCTGGGCTCCCTGCATGTGAGAAGACACAGACTTGGCTAAATAGCCTCTGAGCTCCTGAGCCAGGCTCTCAGGGTGCCTGCCCTGTCCTGGGGGACCTGCTTCCCTGTTTGCTCCAACTGCTGATGGCTCGGCCCAGAGTGTCTGTGGCACACGCCGGCAAGCATCAGTGCCGAGCTGGGCTCTCATCTAGCGGGTGTCTCCTGGAGGGATGACCGAATTGTCTGGGGCTCCTCCTGCCTCGTGCTTTCCCCAGGGCGGTACCCTTTCACCAGCACGGTGGCACAGGCGCTTCTGAAATCTGAATTAATAGGTTTTCTGCACAACTCTCTGATTTCCATTCCCTGTTTCATGATGACTGGGAAGGGAAGGGAGTGGGGAGCCTCCTACTGGGAGATGTGGGGTTCCACAACTTGGTGGACACAGGGGCGCTCCCTGCTCCAGGGTGGGTGTGGGGTCAGGGCGGAATTTACCGAAAGCCCTCTGAGGCGTTGTGGAGACCAGCAGCCCCCCCGCTGATGCTGGGGCATGGTGCTGGTGGTGAGTGCGGCTGGGTGCAGCGTAGGGTGTCTAGGGGTGTCACTGCTGTTACATCACTCCCTCTCTCTAGACGTGAGTCCCTGAGGACAAGAATCGTGTCTTATTTTTCAGGATGTCCCCAGAGCCTAGCTTGGGGCGGGCCCCCAGGAGAGATCGGAGAGCATCTGCTGAATTAACGGGTTACTGAGGTGGGGGGGTGCTCTGTGTTCTGCCCTGCCGGGAGCGGGCTGGGTGGTGTGACCCTGCCTCCCAGGATGAGATCTTTGCTGCTGAGTGTTTGGGCTTCTGGGACCAAGGCAGGGAGGCAGAGGAGCCCCCACTGACCCCTTGGCAGGACCCCTGGTCTTCCGATTCCCGGTCCAGGTTGCTGGTCCCTCAGTGAGCGCTGGGAGAGATCTCCTGAGGGTCGGGCACCCCGGCTGCTCTCCTTGCCCGGGACACACAAGAGAGAAGAGGTTGCCCACCTTCTGGAAGCCCCAGGGAGAGGGTCCCAAGGGTCCTGAGACCTTAATGCTGGCCCCTGACCCTTCTTTGGAGACCCCTCCATCTGTCCATGTCTTTTCTCTCTCTCTGATCTTCCCTTGCTTCTTCCCGTTTACTTCTCTCCTGCCGTTCTGTCGTCCGCCGCACCCCCATCTCTCGGCGTCTCTGTCCCTCCTTCCCTCCTTCTCCGCAGCTTTCTTGGTTCTGTCTCTGTATTTCTAACCCTCTCTGCATTTCCGACCCTTCCTCTCTCCTTTGTCCTCTCTGTCTCTGTTTCTTTCCCTCTCTTTTTTGCTGTCTTTCCCTTTTTGGCCGTGTTCTTTGTCTCTCATCTGGGACGCAGACTCTCTGCTCTCTGTGTCCGCAGGAGGAGGGCTGGGAGTTGGCCCTGGTGGTTTGGGTGGTTGGCCCCAGCCTCCCTCTCTCTGCACATCATCCCCAGGGGTGGCTCTGTGTGGGGAGAGGACCCCCGGGTGGGGAGGGGGCTCACGTGTGGGCCCAGAGTCACGAGGGGAACCTGCTGTGTTGCTCCTGCTTGCAGCTCATGGAACTTGGGAACCTGGGTGTGTGTGCATGTGGCTTTGGGGTAGGAGGAGGCCCCAGGTCCGTTTTGGCATGAGTGCTAGCCGGTGGGGAATCCAGAGAGCTACCCTGACCCAACGCCTCCTGAGCTGAGGTCCCTGTGGGTAGCCATGGGAGGGGCATTACTTCTCATTACTTTGTTGTTTTTAATTAGGGTTTACTTAATTGGTGCACAGAGGGCTGGAGGCCCATGGCGGGGAGGGGAGGGACTCTGGCTAGGGAGGCCACGTTGCTTGGTGAAGCCCAGCTTGTCCCTCGAGGCCAGCTGGGGTCCCTATGTTTCTGCGGCTGGTGTGCAGGTCACGAGAGGAGCCTGGGGTGGGATGGGGACTCCACCCCTGCCTCAGCCTCATATACTGTCCTGTAAACCAAGCCTAGGTCCACCCTTGGCACGTGGGTCACAGCACCTAGTCCTACCTAGCTCCACAGGAATGAGCTGAGGGGTTGTCCTGCCTACAGTCCCTCTCATCCTCTGCCTCTGTTGCTGGAGCTACCCTCTCATTTGTTAACCACTCAATACTCATTTATGCAAAATTTGCTGAGCCTCTGCCAGGGTGCTGAGGACACAGCAGTGAACAAGACCACTGAGCCTCTGCCCTGTGGGCCGCTTTCCAGGGGGCACAGTCTCCGCACCCTACTCTGTTTCTTCTTAGTGTAAACAGTCTTCCTGGATCATTACCCTTCACTTACATGTGATGTTTAGTTGTGCCCTCCACTGCCCCCGCCCCTGAATATATGCTTGACAAGGACAGGTCTGGACCTGTGCGCTTCATGGCTACATCACGGTGCCTGGGGGTGGGTGCGCCATGAAGATCACTCCCTAAATGGAAACACCATGCTTTGGTTTCCCACGTGGAAGAGGGAGTAAGGAGTGCAGAATGTGGGCTGGGAGGCTGCTGTGTGTGGGATGCTCAGAGAAGTCCTCCATGATGAGTTTGGAAGGACATGAGGGGTGAGCCATCTAGATACTCGGGGAGGCTGTGGCTGGAGGTGTCAACGCAGGACACAGGTGTAGCGATGGTCTTCCAAGCCCAAAGTAGACAGGATCCCCGGGGAAGCTGCCCACACGAGCCCAGGGACCTGAGTTTGTAGGTTGGGACTGGCCAGTAAGGTGGGTGCAGAACCCAAAGAGGAAAGTGGATGGCGTTTCAGGAAGGAAGAGCTCTTCTTGAACAGAGCAAGAGGTGGGTGCACAGTTGAGCATGGCATTCAGCAACATGCAAGTGCTGGGTTCTTGACGATAGCTTGCTGGGAAAGGCTCTTACAGGGACAGAGGAGGGGTTCCTGGTGAGCACCTGTGGGCAGCTCTTCTTTTCAGGGAGTTTTGTAGCAAAGCGAGGCAGAAAGCTGGGGCAGTGGCAGGAGGGAGATGAAGGGGCAGGACGAGGGCTACAGCCTGTGTGCCAGTCCAGGAGGCAAGGACTAGTGGAGGCTGTAGACAGGAAGTGCTGGAGAGACGTCCTGGGTGGATGAGGGGAAGTGGGATCCAGAACCCTGGCGTCCATGTCTGTTGATCTCGAAGCGGGAAATGGGGGAGGAGCTGAGTGTGCACTTGGACTGGCAGGTGAGGAAGCAGGGCTGGCGCACAAGTTCTCAGACTGTTGTGTTACCAGTGAACTAGGAAGCAGCCCATCGGCTGAGATGTGGTGTGGGAAGAAGCTTAGGGGCTGATGCACAAGGACAGGGTATGAGATGGGGAGGGAGGAAGGATGGATTCCCTTTGCCCATATCCAGTCTCCCACCTCTTCCTTGGCTTCCATCTCTCTTCACGTTCTCTCCTTTATTCAGTGTCTGGCCATCCATACCCTCGTTCACTTGGAAGGTACTTGCGAAATGCTCTAGTTGCTGGGGACGTGGTGCTTACATGGAGGCTGCCTTCTCCGGGGGAGACAGTGAACAAAGAGTGCATGCCACGTGGGGTAGTGATGTGCAGTGACGAACAGAAGGCCAGGGAAGCTTGAGGGTGAGGTTTGTCCTTTTGTTGGGGTCAGGAAGGTCCCTAAGAGGCCCCTTGAGCAGAGGAGCAGGCAGGAGGGGTGGGCCTCGGTGAATGGGGAGGAAGAGTGGAGGGTGAAGGTGCAGGAGGCCATGGGGGCTGCTGGGGGGCTCTGAGTGCAGGGACCGGTGCAGAGCTGACCCTAGGGCAGGAACCCGGCAGATATGATGGGGCCTTGGGCTGGGGGAGAGCTGGAGGAAGCACTGGTGGATTGCCCACAGGAGACCCACGGGTCTGGCGGATTGCCCACCTCCCTAGGGTGGCACCCACATCCCCAGCCCGTCTGTAACTGACCCATCTGTGTCTGACTTCC